TAAATGCGCTCTTAATAGTGTTATTACCCAAAACTTACCACTGTATATGAGAAGTGGATAACAAAAAAACAAACTTCTTGTTTAAAAACAAACTGGTTTTGTCTCATATACTCATAGTATAGTATTTTTAAATGAACTTTCATACCGTTGTAAGCTTTGCTGAGAAGCTACACTCAAATCAAGCAAATGACCAACCATCTAATATAACACTGGAGAAAAGCAGATCTACACTATGTTCTCATCGCTTTGTTTCTCTTTTCAGTCTAAATTCATTGATGGCTAATTTATATCCATTGTATTATGTGCCAAAACTCTTTTACTGAAATCACTCTTCTTTCACCGCAGTGCTTACCCATTCACATATTTATAGAGAACCAGCATCCCTACCAACCCTTTGTTTTGCCAGAGAAACAAACCACTGTTGTTTAGACTCCTCCTGTGACATGAGCACTCCATTCCTTTAATTATCCTACCAGCCCCCTCTGCACCTGTTTCCAGTTTTAATTCAACCTTCTCGAATATGACTGATGAGAAGTATATAGCAGTGCTCCACATGGAGTCTTGCTAGCGCTTGATGACGTTAATACCTTCCTATCGTTACTGCAGACATTTATTCTGACATATCAGGATTCACACCTCATAATTTAGATGTCTGCTTCGTTATTTAGATGGCTCAAAATGACACTGCCATAAGCAAATTCACCCAATCTTTCTCCTCCTAAACTGTACCAAGGATTATCCTTAGCTTACAGCAGGCAGTCTTACAGGTCCTAACTTCACAATCATGCATTTTGTACTATTGTATTTCACTTAATTTCATGATTCAAACTCCCTGGCATATTTCATAAATATACTTTTCATTCTAACCAACACCATTAATAAAAGCATTAAACAATATACTCCTTCCATCCTGACAGTTCCATTTCAGCTACAGTTACCGCTCTTTGGCTAGGCCCTTCACATTAAAATTTAAGCCGATCACTCTCTTACCCAGTTTTATTTACATTATCAAAAAAAACCCCAAACAAACAAATAACAACAAAAAAAACCCCAACAAACAAAAAAAACCAACCACGCCATATTTCCTTCATCAAGAAAACCAAAGAAAAACATCAAGCTAAGTTTACCGAAAGTACATTATGCTGGGATACATTGCATTTAATTTTAACCTGTTCTCATTATAAAGATATAAATCATGAAAGATGTAATAAAAGTTATCAAACAGCTTTAGTATAGGAGGAGGAATTGGTTCTCCTATGTAGTAATATGAAGTTACGAAATAGAAAATTAATACATATGGAGTAATTTAAGAAACAGACCAACATGGTTTTATATATGAGGAATAGCATCAACCATAAATCTTAAGTGATGTAACTCAGAAGCGTGGTAGTTTCTGAGGCAAGAAAATCACGTTAAAACTAAAAGAATTACCATTCATATGAAATCTTGTTCAGGACTATTAATAATGTCCATCTGCCAAATAGCATACACTTAAAAATTTAATTGCCCATATCCTGAAGCAGATATTTCCACCCTTGAGTATCTGACACTTTCTGTGTCAATACTTTCTGACAAATAGTAGAACATTAGTATTCATCATCTTGTTTTAATTCTTGTTTGAATTTGTGAATAACTTCATTACAAACGTTTTTACTTTTCTAACTGATTTATACAAGTACATTTCATTACACTGATGAATTTATATGTGAATATAACAAATATTGTGAAGATACCATAGCTTGCAATACTCTAGATTATAACTCTCTCAGAAATTTATGTTTACAAATTTTGAGAATTTATGTTCTTGCAATTATCTTGCAATGTAAAGATGTTGGCATAGCAGTGAACATGGATCCCAGCAAGCTATTAACCAACAAATACATTTCAAAAGAGCATTATTTTCCTACAAAACCCCAGAGATGCCCTTGCATCTGAAGTTAGGGGAAATGTTGAAGATATGCTGTTTCTAAGCAAGAAAGAAAACAAAGAGGAAAAGTAAGGACAGAAAATAGCAACACAGAGCACATTATATGAATTACAAAACAGCAGGATAAGAAGGAAAGAACATTTTCAAATATGCTTCTGTTAAAGTTGTAGTCATTTTCACGATGCTTTATTCCCATAAAGTGGGTAAACTGAACTTTGGCTCCACCTCTTCCCTTCAATAATGAGCCAATCAAGTAGTCATTACAAGCAGAAAAAGTAGTAGCACTTCATAAAATGTTACAGCAATTTACACTCTACGTAACCCCCTAGAAAGGGGAATTTCAACATCAAAGTTCCCTCTCTAGGGACACAAACAGGTGGCACAGTTATATACAGTTTAGATCTTTAGGCTAATGTTTTTAGAAAATAAGGAAGAGGGAGAGAAAATAAATTAAATTTTAGAGAAACCTAAGGTGAGCCTGATTAGTAAGAAGGGTTAGATAGCCACTCTCTAAAAATATTTCCCTATTACACTTTTATATTGCTGGCAGATTGCTAGCCTTACTGTACTAATCAAAAATTTATGCCTGTGCTTATGCATGGTGGAAAGGAGCTTTAAGAATCCATTACCAAGTAGAGGAAGCAACTTCTGTTGATGAAATCAATAATAGATAATTTTTACGTAAATCCTTTTTTTTCCCCTAGTTTACAATAATTAACTTATATATACTGTGTGTATAGGAATTTGGAATTAATCTTGAAAGCTGTATGTAAGTTAAATCAAGTGAGAAACTGCATTAAAGTTAATAGAATTCACAAACAAATCTTAGATCATTATGACTCCCAACAATTGCAACATACTACTGTCCTTAGCTGGTCATGCCACAGATATCTTATTGTAAGCATTACAGAAGCACTTAAAGGTTCATAGCAAAGCTTAACTACTTCATCACATTCAAAGTACAGTATATCCTGTTCAAAAAGTCTGTGCTTACTCAGTGGTACCAAATTATTTTCTGAAAAGTTATTTCAGGATCAACACCCTTATCAACAATAACAGACTGGAAACTGGTGTCCCAAAATTTCACTGATAAAAGTGCATCGAATTTTCAAAAAAAAAATACAAACATAGAAAATTCTGTCCATTACATAACCCACTACAGGGTTTTCAGACAATAAGAAGAGGTTGTATGCTGACAAGGCTGTAGTAATATCTCTGCATCCCTTGGTTCCTTGTTTCTTTGTAATCATTGTTTTGTAATCAATAATTCTCAATTTAATTCAAATAAATCTACTGACCTATATCAATTCTTCAGCTCTTTTTTATATAAAATATTTAAATCAAATTAACATTTACTAAAAATTTTAGATCACAAGCTTCACTACTTCATCACATTCATCTTTTAATCTTAATTGTCATTTTAATATTCAACCATTCAACATGTACGTGATTGCTACTTAATGAATCTCTTTAAATTATCCTCTTGAACAAAAGTTCAGCATGCCTACTATTGCGTCTAGTGTCACACAATAATTCAGTAGGTTTTATAGCCCAACGAGGATATCAGTTACTGTTTCTGTAAAAACTATACAGTCAGTTTCCACCAGTTTGGTCACACCTGGAGTCACTATATTACAAGCCTAGGTCTGTAATTACCCCTACAGTACCTGCACCGATGGGTGGAATAGGCAGCGCTTCCTTGACCACACAAATTCACTAATCGTGTTATCTTTTTCCAATATGCTGCCTTCGGATTTTGGAAAGTTTAGGCAGAACTCAGAGTCATGGTGCACAAAGTGACCACTCTTCATTACTAGCTTCCTCTGGTATCTACTTTACACATTGAAATCGGTGCAAATACTAGAGTATTCTAAAATTCTGATGTGGTGAGAGAGGTAACTGCTAATTAAAGCTGTCCTCATGTAAACACTCAGTTCTATTTTGAGTACAAATCTTTTTTTTTCACTTTAAATTTGAGGTCTCGGTTTTCATGACACTTTGATTGATAACTATATACCATTCATCATTATTAAACCTTTGCCAAATGTCTGCAGAGAAAGATAAGTTTTGGCAACAGATAACTGTGAAGGTTCATCAGTAAAAGATGCTCTACACATCTTCCTTTCCAAGCTGGCTGTTTTCGTCCCCCTAAGGTAACCAAGATTTCCCGCAGATCTTCCCCTCTTTCATGGTAATTCTCCCTAACGGGACAGAGCAGTGCTATGTCTTGACTGGAACTATAGCAATAATCACAACAATGAGATCCCTTAAACTTCTCTTTTGGAACCATGAAGCACTTTTCTTCTGACTTGATCACTAGAAAATTATATAAAATATTTGAAAATATAATATTCCTTCTTTCATTTACCTAAGAGCGGCTAAGTACAGGAAAGGAACAAAGAAATCCGATCCACTTATAAATCAGATAAATTGCAGCATACCATACGGGAGAAGGTTCCAAGAATCATTAATTACGAAGGGCATGAGAAAAATGGATCCCAAAACCCTCCTGTCTCCATCAAGGAAAGACTGCACAACGTTCCCATAAATAAGACAAAAGCTGCCTGGGCAACATCAGAAAATATTCATTTGAAGCAGACAAAGACTACAGAAACACTGAGAAACAGTTACAACTATTATTAAATAGTCATGAGACTGGTTAGAAATACTTACCAATACTTTTCAGGATCTCTGAGAACTAGTGATGTTGTTCACACTGAAGAAACATGTGCGGGGACAGTTTTGATTTACCAGTTACTAGAAAGACAGGATTGTTCCCCAACAAGGTTTTCTGGGAGGGTTGTTGTCACTGTAAATTGCATATGGCTTTTCCCATATGTGCTCCTTTCATGGAGACTACTAAGAAAGTGGAAACCTTAAATTGTTCCAAAGTCAGCAGACAGGAGAGGCAGTTCTCAGGTAGCCATATTTTTTTTCATTTCTGATTCAATTTTACAAGACATAACAAATATTCTGTTAAAAAACATATTCTACTATTAACTTCTCTGCTCTGCAATGAAGATCAAGTAAATAAAAATGCCACTCAATGTAAGACAAATAATACAAGAATTACCTTTCTAACTCAGCAATTTTCTTATCTTTGTCATTCTTCTCATTCTCTACTTCCTTGAGTATTTCTAGAAGTCTGTCAACCTCAGCCTGAGCTTTGCCACATTCTTCTCTATAGTACGATGCCTCTTTGTCAAGCTGTTTCATTCTGTCTGCAAATTCTGGATTCATCCGTGCCTCCTCTTCAGCCTCATGAGCCTTCAGAATCAATATTTAAAAAAAAATAAGGATGACAACAATTTATATAGCTTTAAGAGCTTTACTTCTTCAGTCTCGTAGTTCATATTTTCATTAAAAAGGATTATGGGTATTTATGTCCGATGACAATATTTTCTACAGAAGCATTATCAAAAGGAATGAAAATATCTTCATAGTCAAATGCTATCATATTGAAGGGGGAGGGGATTTATTAAGGTTTTTTACGTATTAAAGTGACCATATTTTCAGGGTGTTTTTTAAATTAAAAAAATCACGTTGTAATTAATTTAATTCACATTAAGCTTTTAAAGCGTTTCAAATATATAGAGAACTTCTTAATAAATCATATTCTCTTTCCCCGTATATATATACACACACTTTGTCCATGTATATATATACACACACAGATACATATATACATATTGTAATCTGTATCACCAGATGTTTCAAATGCAGTTTGATACAAAGAATTTAAAAGGAAGAAATTGTTTTTATGCAGTGCTGTTTTTAAAAGACAAACCAATAAACTAAAAAGTTGCTTTCAGCAGACATTTTATCCAATAATCCTTTTTCTCTTATTGTTAATACTTAACCTGAAACATCAGAAGAACAAGCCCATTGGTGAAAACAGCACAAACCTGGCAAACACATGCATGGATGGGTGGCAGTTTCACAGACAAGAAAGAACGCAATGAATACAACAACAACAGCGCAGAGCCCAATCCTACTCCCATCAAACCTAATGGCAAAAACCCAATTAACTTCAATGGGAGCATGATCTGGCATCAAGTGCTTTAAACTGTTGGCTGGAATAATCACAGACAGATGGAAACAACAATGCACTGCAATGCTTAGCCTACCCCTTGCTTCCCATTATTCCTAATTGGCATCTTGAAAGAGCAGGCAAGGAAAAAACAAGTAGTTTAAGGCAGTGCACATTAAACATAGAAAATTCAGATAACATTCTCTTAACATACGGGAATTTTACAGAAATTCAGGGTATTTAGAACTGAAGGTCCTCCAACTATCTTATTACTCAAAGAAGACGTGGACTTACTTATCCTTCTTAATTTCAGGGAACAGACAATGCAAGCAAGCAATGAAAGAAATGCAGATCAAAATGAAACATGCGGGTTTTGGAAAGAATTAATATAAACTACAGATACTAGAAGGTTCATATTCTTTGCAATGGTGAAAATTTTCTGTATAAATAAAGAACAAGTCTGGGTTTAGTATAAATACAACAATTAAAAATTGAAATTACTAGGGAAGAAACTTGGGGGGTTTGCATGTAACATATCATTTAAGCATGAGGATAATAAGAAAAAAGGTAGTAGATTTTAAGTGTTATTTATCCTACTGTGAGATTTTTATTCAAAAGAAATATTTGGTTACCAAAATAAGCCAAGGGAATGACAGGAGAAGCCTACTAAGCCTACTGGCCTTGCTCTTCAAATTCTCTATTTTGGACAATAATACATGCTCCAGCCCTGAATTCTATGCAGATACAGGACTTTCATTTCAAGGTAACATCCAAAGAGTATCTTGATTTTACTGTTTGGGTGAGATGTTAGCAACAGATTCCTTTTCATCCTCGTAAATCTTCCTGTTTTAATAATAAACTTTGATTTATTTTATACCCGGTGTTAACTGTGTCAAGAAATTTACTTTCAACTAGCTTTGTAATTTTTGAAGTAAATGTAATACTCAGACTCAGGGCCAATTATGTGAGAGACTGTGTACCCCAATTTCCAGCTGCAAACCACTTCAATTTTCCATCAGCTCTATTAAGATATTAGACAATGTTTTATCTCTCCAAAATGAACATGAAGTGTTCTTTTGCAAAGAATAAAAATAATTCCATAGGTTCGTAAAGGTAAATTCACTATAGACAAAAAAAAAACCCAACCCAATTCCCACTTTTAAGGTAGTAAGAAACCTATGCAAAGAGCATGTTGTTCCCTATCGCTCTTCAGATTTCTCCTCCTCTCCTAAGGGTAAATCCAGAATTTCACAGTTCCCCCCTAGAGGCTATCACTCTTCCATATTCCTCCCTGTCACCTTTCTTTCCCTTCTGTTTATTTTTGTGTATAATTCACTTATTTACCAGCCTTGCTTCCATCATTTAAATAACAGGCAAAACACCCACCTTCCTGCCTCTAACCAGTCTTTTCTTCACTTTATCCTACAGGAACTCTCAGCTTCAGCCCAAACATTTTAGAAGCCTGCTTTTTTTTTTTTTTTTTTTGCTTTTCATGGCCACACTGGACTTTCTATAATGAAAATACATAATTGGGCAAGAACACCAATTTGTGTCACCAAAGCAAAGGGCAAAGGTGCCGAATATTCAACTATCATAGAATACTCGTGTCACACAGCAGCTCAGAAATGTACTGAACAAATTATCTACTGCACAGATTATAATTAAAACATCACCTGAAATAATAGATATAAATTCTGTTCTTTAGTTTAGTCCTATAATCCTTGCTCAATAGCATGCTAAGGAAATTAATGTTAAGTTGCAAAAGTATTTTCAATTCTTGTGCTTTCTGTGGTACTCATGCCATTCCATATTTGTGGGATGTGTTTTTGGAAAATTCTGTAGCACAAACTTGGTCGTTGTATTTCCCCATGGTTTTCAACACGAAGCGGAACCTATAATGTATGATTAAATCCCATGTGATTAAGTATCCAACCTATACAGGGTTTCGAGGTGCAGCACAGTTATCCATAATGTCACATATAAATCAATATAAGCATTCAGTTCAAAGGCAAGTATAAGATTATTCTAATCTTTTTAAAAAAAAAAAAAAAAAATCCCAGTATTGCAAACCACCAATTAAGTTGGTTGCCTCTACTTTTACAAGCACTTCCTATGGAATATTTTTGGACTATTGGCAGGAATCAGATTTCTACAAGGGCATTGCCTTAATGAAGAAGGAAAGGAAAGTTAGTTAAAAAGGGAGAGCAAGAACATAAAACATTTTTAAAAAAGAGCTTTCTGCAGGTGGTACTCTAACTTGCAATGAGTCCCTTGAAGGGAATCCTCATGTTGTAAACAAAGCTGCTGATACTACAAGAGAGCAAAACACAATCCATCTCATTTCCAGGACAAAGGCATAGAATTACTTGTAAGTGCCCTATTATATTTTATGGCTTTGAAAGATGTGTTTGGATTTGAACTAGGCCCTTTTTTTTAATTGTTATGTACAGATCAGGGGTGATTTGCTGACAGATGAAACTTGACTTTTGAGGTCAAACAGTAGGCCCAAAGGAGAGAAAAGGCAGTTCAGCTGATATTGACCCTGCTCCCACCCGGACAGGGCAGATTTCTTTGGCTTTTTTCCAGGCTGTAAGAGACAGGCTTGGATCACTTCTAACCAGAAGCTGCATGGTTATCACATGAATCAGAAAGTCTCTACCTATTACTGCTGTCCTCTCTTCTATTCTTTTTTCCATTTCTGTCCCCCTTTTTCTCCCTAAGTTCTCTGCTTTCTTGGGAAGAATACATTTTCTGTTTTTATGGGGCTTTTATGGCTAAGAGTGACTTAGCCATAAGGTATGGTTCATGCATACCTTTCACCAGCAAAGTAATTGCTCTCTTAATCTGTAAATGATAATACTTGTGTGTGCAGATTAGGCTAGTTTCAAACTAGCACACTTGGTTTATGATGTTTTGTCTGTCAATCTTGTGACTATGTTGTTTTATGTTATTTTTACAATTCAGTAAAAATAGCATATCACTCTACTATTAGAATTTCACTCATTCTTACAGTAATTATGCATCTGTTCTGTTATTTGCTTAATAAGTACTGCAAATAGTTTAGAAGTAAAGTAACATTTCCTTATGTAAACCACCAATTTCCTACACAGACACCATAATAGTGTGGTACAGACATGCAACATGAATTATTTAGTCTATTAAAATTTTATGGTACAATCATGCATGCATTATTCTGCATAACAGAAACGGATGGATAGATAGAGCATTTCATTTTTAAAGCTTCAGACACAAACATACACAGAAATCAACCAAGTACTTCATTAAAAAAAAAACGGAACAGTAGAATTTACATGCAAGGAATTACTTTGTAAGATCCTTCAAATTTTATTACTTTCAATAATAAACTAAAAAAAATTGCTGTCACCTTAATATTTTTGTAGTCTCCTTGAAGTCAGAGATTTTTTTATTTAACTTTAGAGACTGCTTTAAGCAATTTAGAGTGGATTCTGCAAGTACTTCAAATTTTAATCTGACATTGCTCTGATGGAGCATTTGGAAAATTAAGTCTTTACTATTCAGAAAAAGGTTGATCAGAACGCCAAACTAAGTACATCATTATATTTTCATTACAGGACAAAAACAATCACGTAACTTCTTATAATCAATTTTGCACAAGAATTCATTGGGTATTTCAAAAAGTTCACCTTTCAAAACAAACATGAAGAAATGTGCACCCAATTCTGTTCACGTCTTATTCACACAGGTGAACACATTGTGAAACCATTTACTGTAGAGTGTGCAGGATTTGCACCCCTTCCGTATCATCTCCACTTTGGTACCCAAATGTGTATAAGAATAAAACACTACTATCCATTGCTGTATTCTAAAAACATTAGATTCAGCAATAAACAAAAGTCTTGGAGTTGATACCTGTGTGACACAGTAGAAAAAACACATTCCACCACAAAAAAAATGCTATATTACTGCATGAGCTAAAAGAGGTCTACTCAGGGGTTGACTGTTATTTCTCTGACACATGTGAACAAAAGAGCATTAAAACTTCAGTATTTTAAGATTAGATTGCCATCTGGTTTTTCATAACACTACTATTCTCAAACAAAAAAAAAGGTAAGGAAACATTCTATTAAATAAAGCATCATAACGATTTGCAGTACAAAAAAATGTTTCAGCTAACTGCTATTTGCCATCTCAAAGAACGAAGGTGAAATCTTGGCCTTGTGCAATTCAAAGAATATGTTGCCATTGACTTCAATCA